CTCAGAGAACAGTCACAGCAGCAAATGTAACTTGGCAGAATCTCCCCGCCATGAATGTGGACAATAATTAGGATGGCTGAACAGAGTTCACACTTGCTTTGTAAAGGTCTCAAATTGTTTGAATTCCTCTTTGGCTTAATAATCCAAATATTTAAATCAGCTTTCTTATTTAATTCAGGGTTTCAGCCAGAACTCCCCTGACAGGCACATAAAATGAATACTTGTATGTGGTGTATGTGCCAAGGAAACAGCAGCCCTTGTAAGCAATTAAAGAAATGAAGAGCTGCTTCCCCATCCTTGCACATGGCATTAGAGGAATAAATGGGCTTTTGCAAATGGGTAAGTGTTCATTCTGTGCTTCTGAATACAGATTTCCTATGACGGCCATATGCCCTAATTTACATAAGGTGGTCCTCTATTTGAAGGGTTTCTAGAAGACAATACTCTGTTTGCAGTGGCCTTCCTTTGAAAGCCTATCTGGTCCAAGTTTAATTTAAAGAAAAAAGAAGCGCAAGGAGGAATATCAGGGACCTTAAAGTTGTCATCCAGCTGGCTAGTTATCTCAGTAGTTTAGATCTTTGGCTGCAAAACCAGAGGTTGGGGGTTCAATTCCCCAATGTGCTTCCTGCGAGCAGAGCCAGCCTGTGTGGCCTTGGGCAAGCTGCAGAGTCCTAGATGGCACCCAGGTGAAGGGAATGGTTGACCACTGCAGAGTATTTCTTGGAAAACTCTGAAAAGGGTCTCCATGTCATAGAATAATGAAGTTGAAAGGGGCCTAGGAGGCCATCGAGTCCAACACCTTGCTCAATGCAACAGAATTGACTACCACATCATCATCATCATCATCATCATCATCATCATCATCATCATCATCATCAAATACCAGGCACAGCCAATCAAACTATCAAAACATTGACTGGTATTACATAAGAGATACAAATTTTAACCAAAAAACTAAGTATCTGTTAAACACTGACCATATGTTGTTCCTAATATTGTTGTCTTTTGTAGTTCTAATTATGTTATTTCTGAAATCTGCAACTACTTATAATACTGGGTGAAATTTCTTGAGATTCTTTCCAAAGCCCCAATTACAATGGGCACCACTGAGGTATGTTTCATCCACAAGTGAGATGTTTCAATTGTCAGGTGTCTATTTTGTTAGTTTTTCTAATTTTTTATCTTGAAGTCTGGCCTCCCCCGAAATTGCAGTGTCAATTATCCAGGCATTTCTTTGTTCTATTACTACTGTGTCTGTGCTCAAGGTGTCTCTTAGTTTGGATCCGGAAATCCCACAAGATATCTTGACTACCTCATTTTCTGACACCTTCTCTACCTGATGTTCCCATGGCTTTTTGGAGGCTGGCAAGTTATATGTTTTTGCATAATAACCAGTGTGCTAATTTTGCCACTCTCTCATGTCTAATTTTGTAATCAGTTTGTGCAATCTTTGGACATTCACAGATGAGGTGTGACACCGTTTCATCTCTTTCTTGGCAGAATATTATATATCTATAAGAAACTAACAATTGCTTGCTAACTATCTCATTCTCATTAATTTATGCTGTTTCAATACAAGCCACCTTCATGTGGATCTTTAAAGGCCCACAAGAGTCATCATCTTCAGGTGAAAGCAAGAGAAAGACCTCTTATTTTCCTCTCCTGTTGACCTCTGTGATTTATGCAAACTGGATAAAAATCTGACTCCTCTTTGGGAAGCAAATCACATAGACACACAGAGACGGTAAAAAGGCAGACTGACATAAAGAGCTGATAACAAAAGACTTAAAAACAATGCATTGTTGTTTCTAATTCTTAGGAGTACATGTAACAAAGTATAAAGCACAGCTTAGATATGTGCCCATTTGCAGGCCCTTTGGTGTCCTGGGTATAAACTATGCACAAATCCATCTCTGTCTCTCTTCTCTCCCCTTTGCCAGGTGCTGCCTCAGTTGCTGAGGTTGGCTAGCATCATATCTTCACCTAACAAAGCCATACATACCAACACACAAACAAAAAAATTCCGAAATACACTCATATTGACCAGATAGGCGGGGTATAAATAAAATAAATTTTAAAAAAATAAATAAAAATTTAGCCAATGTGGAAACTGCATACCCAAATGCATACATAGAGGTTTTTGAAATGCATGTGTATATACAAGTGGTTCTGAAATGAAAATAAATGCATAAAATTCCTTCACAATAAGAATACAAAACCAAAACCAACGTCTTGTGACTTGATATGGAACAAGGACAGGATGAGAATGCAGGTGGATTTCACACAGTGGCCAAAATCCTGTTGCTTCATGTTGTAAATCAGACTGACGTAGGCCTGTTAAATCAACATGGATTTGGTGGGTCAACTGAACTCCTTCATGAATTCCATGCATTCAAATAGGCCTTCTATAACTGTGACTTACTATTCTAAAGTTAGTCACAGTTATAGTAAGTTCATTGGTATCAACAGAACTTTTGGTGGAACTGAGTCACCACATCTCCATGGATTCAATTGGCCTAGTCTAGCATGATTTACTACACTGGATTTGGCCAATAAAATCATGACTAAGAAATGTTCACATCCACTTTCTACCAGAGATTTTGAAGAGTCTCTGTCACTCAGAGTAAATAATAATGGAACAAGTGGTCAAATAATTAGAAGAACTGCTAATTATTTTCCCATGCTCTTGCAGAGAAGAATCTGGAGAGATTTTTGGAAGCCCATTGGTTTCAGCTACAGAAGTCATCATAGCAACTTGTGGTGGTGGGTATGTGCTGTCTAGTTGCCTCTGACTTATGTGCAATTAACTATTACATTTTTAAAAAAATATTAGAAAAAAAGTTGTTTACAGCCAGAAAAGGAATACTTTTTGCTCATTTTCTAAAATAAAGTGAAACATATGCTTCTTCTTGTGCTAATATGGGCTGTGTCTAATAATCTAATATTGATTAGAATACATCAGAAGGAACTTCGATTTTCATTTTTTTTCTGCAAATAAGGCAAAACCAGCATAGCATACTACTTTCTCATTATTCTCTTTACTCTTCATTTAATAATGTCAGTCTGTCAATTCAAGCGCTGATTTTAGTTTATTTTTTCTAATGAAGTATAATGTCATGAATTGGTATCTAGTTAATTAACTGTACAGATTTAGGATTTATCTTGACTGCTTGTAGGAATATTTAAACAGAAAAATTCTTTTCAGCCCCTCAAACAAGCACACATATGACGTGCATCTCTTAGCAAGAAACCCCCTCAAATTAATCACAATTTTCTTCCAGAAAAGGCAACTACGCTAATATAATTTTTGACAGAACCTGATCAGTACTCAGCTTTTCCGAGCAATAACTACTACAACATTAATGTTCTTTACAAAAAAAAATCAATCTCACTTTAAAAAAAAGAAATACCAAAGGAGTAGAATATATTTGATGGGAACTTAGAGAAATTGGTCACGTTTTCTGATTCTGCTGTCATTTCAGGCATTGATGGCATGCAAAAAAAAAATCATATCCACAGGTTTTTGGATGGATATTAACTGTACAGGTATGCATTTATGTGTGTCCATGAACATATAAGTGCTTCTGTTAGGAATATACAGGGTAGTTAAGCTGAATTACCTGAATTCTTTCCTCAACCAAGCAGGAGTAGACCTCAGAACAACATCTACTCACAAATGCACTAAATAATATAATACAGTGGTGCCTCGCATAGCGATCGCTCCATTGAGCGATGAAATCGCTTAGCGACAGAGTTTTTGCGATCGCAAAAGCGATCGCTTTGCGATGGTCCCTATGGGGTTTTTTCGCTTTGTGATGATCACGGGGAAGCGATCATGGCAAAGTGACACTTTTTAAACAGCTGATTGGCGGTTTCAAAATGGCCATTGGGAAAACAAAATGGCCGCCCGCTGTTTTTCCTAGCTTAAGAGGCAGTGAAAATGGTGGCGCTATGGAGAATTTTCGCTTAAAGGTAAGGTTTTAAGCCCATAGGAACGCATTAATCGTGTTTTAATGCATTTCTATGGGCTTTTTAATTTCGCTTAGCAATGTTTTCACTTAGCAACGTTTTTTTCCGGAACGGATTAATGTCGCTAAGCGAGGCACCACTGTATTTTTATTGGGTATAATTGGATCTCAATTGGCTACTACCTGGTGAGCAAACCAACACTTATCCTAACATTTATACCAGCGTTCTGATGGAAATTGCTATGTCCGTGTGTATCCTTTTCCTTACCCTTAGCCCTAAAGGACACATGTTTTCCAAAAACAGACAATGTTGGGTGAGAGGTGGCTTCTGCAGAGGGATGGGCTGCCTCTATCTGAATATTGCATAGAAATTTCCAATGACAAGAAGCAGCCTGCCTGTAACCAGCTTTTAATGCACCTAAAGAAGACTGCGACCAGTCGAACACCACATGAGTCATAGATAGTTACTTACACAGTAACAGGATCCTTGTTTTACTACTGCTGGTAGCACAACGGAATTTAGAGTAAGGTTGTTAATGCACAATTAAGTTTAGGGAAGGGAAGGTAGGCCAGAGAGGATGAAAAGGAGGAAGAAAGGAAGGAACAGAGATGTTGCCAAGGAAAGTAAAACTTGGTATAGAGTATTTCTCCTGGCCAAAACTGCAAACTCTATTGGGCAATCTGTTAAAATCAGGAATACCATCCAGATTTCAGTATTAAGGAACAGATTTCAGTGAAAGTTTTGGGAGGGGTCATGGAAGCTTTCCAGGAAAGTCTATAGGGCTACCCATATTAAATTCCAACTAACAGTGTAATGATTTTTGTTTAAATCTCTTAATTATGGAGGAAGGAGCTAGCTTGGTGCGTGCTTGAGAACTGCAGTGGACTTTGTTGGTTGCACTGAATGTTACGCTGTTTGCTTTCCTCATGCGTAACAAAGCAATAGCATTTGAGCTGAAATATATAATGTGAATGAAATTTGAATTTTCAGATTAGCTCTGTCTTAAACTTCATGGGTTTATCAACTCTTACCTTCCTAATCTCAGTTGCCAGTTGTTGAAGGGAGGGAGATGCTACAGAATACAAAGCTGCTTTGCCTCTTACGGGATCATGGAGATCCACGTATGCCACAGCATTTCTCTGCAGAACGTTCTTGAGGTCCTAAAACACAGGAAATAGCGATTAATAAGACGGATAATAGTTAAGGATTGCATTATTATTTTAATCTCCTCAAGAGGGGGGAAATACAAGCAATGTTTTTCCACCCACTCCAATTCCCTAAGTAATACTTAACTCCATTTTCCTAGAATATCATTTTAGGAACATCAAAGGATGATTTTTGTTGTTGTTTAATTTTCCTCTGGTGGGTTATAATTCCTTTTCTCACAGCATCTAAGCAAAATGCAAAATGGGGCCTGAAGGGATTCAGAATGGCTACAGTTGTAAAGGAAAGAATGAAAACATTGCATACAGTGAAATGACAGGAAGGGTTTTGTTTGTTTTTGTTTTAATTTTAAACTTGCTCCTGACAGGCACCAAGACTCGAATGTAATCACGAAGAAACATTCACAGTGCTCAGTGTTTTAAACCATGCAGCCATAGTTCAGATTTGAATTGTATTCGTGTCTCCACTGTTGTGTTTTTAAAAGCATAGAGATCTCAGGAGCCACTTCTCAATTATTTTCCATTTGCCTTCCCAGTAACAAGCTGACTGTTCCATGAAGAGGCTCTTTATGCTGAGCGAAAAGGGTGCGACACAATTATGTCTGAAGCTGGATGATCTGAAGTGGAACTGAACAAATTTCGCTACCAGTTATTTGCAATGAACCCCGTTTGATACTTCACCCTTCACCACTACTTATTCTAAACTCATAACCTCTTCAGACACATAAGGCTTCGGTAATTTCTACATGTTGCTGACAAGCAATCTTAAGCAAATCACACAATTTCCATTTAACTATTGGTTTAGTACAGTTCAGCTTCATTACTAAAGCCAGCCATTAACATTCTGTAGCTGAGGATGGGCAAATCTGTATATTTCCTGTCTGTGTTAGTTCTTCAGTTATTTGTCTGTCAGTTCAGTCCATGCTGTTTTTACATCAATCTGTCTGTGGGATATTTCAGCTCATGAAGAATAATTCTGCAATATTTTGAAAACATCTCTTAGCATAGCATGCCTATTTGTCTGTTTATTTTATCTATGTATTTAAAGTATCATTTGTTATTTCTCTGGACAACAACACTGGCCTCCAAAAGGAAGGGTAACAAAATAGGCACAAACACCCCTTAAAAGCAGAATTTTGAGAATACGGAAATCCATTTTTAAACAGCTTTAAGTATCAAAAACCTAGTAGAATAATCTTATTTCAGCTGGCCGCCAGAATGAAGGGACGAAACCAGCCTGACTTCACTTGGGAAGGAGCTACAAAATGGAGGGGTTCCTACAGACCAAGCCCTCTCTTCCACACTGATCAGCTTAGCCCATTCAGAGTGAGGGGCAGCAGATGTTTTACTCTAAAATATTCATTTTTTGTATACATTTTAAACTTATACGTGTGTGTTTGTGTGTTTGAACACATTGGCCAGTATTCTCTTGTGAAGCTTCACCTGTGCAATGGGAATGATGTCATTATCAGCGGCAGATTGCCTCTGATTAATGAGTTGCATTTAAGTTCTGGGGTTTGAACAACCTCCTTGTATTGATTTAAAAAAAAAACATCTTCTATAATCATATAATCATAAAAATAAGGATCTGGAAGGGGCCTATATGGCCATCAAGTCCAACCCCTTGTTCAGCGCAGAAAACCATATCAAAGCAGATCTGACAATGGTTGTCCAGTTTTCTCTTGAATGCCTCTAGCTGTGGAGCGCTCAACACTTCCCAAGGTACAGTAATTGGTTCCCATTGCCATACTGCTCTAACAGTTAAGATGTCCTGATATTCAGACTGAATCTGGCAAACTTGAGCCCATTGTTGTATGTCCTGCACTCTGGGATGACTGAGAAGAGATCCTGCCCCTCCTTTGAGGGAGAAGAGATCCTGCTACCTTTGAGAAGAGATCCTGCCCCTCCTTTGTATGGCTACCTTTCAAATACAGTGGTGCCTTGCTTGACAGCGTTAATTCATTCCAGCGAAATCGCTGTTGAGCAGAAATGTTGTCAAGCGAAATAAAAAAGCCCATTGAAATGCATTGAAAACCGTTCAATACGATCCAATGGGCTGAAGACCTGCTCATCCAGTGAAGATCCTCCATACGGCGGCCATTTTTGGGTGCCTGTTAAGCGAAAAATGCCTCCTAAAAACAGCGGGGAGTCATTTTGAGCAGCCGGTGGCCATTTTGAAAACCTGACAATCAGCTGTTTTGATTGTCGTAATGCGAAGAATCAGTTCCCGAAGCAGGGAACTTATTGTCGCAAAGTGAAAAAAACCCATTAAAACATCCTGATTCTTGCTTATCAGGACGTATCCTGTTCAACCCTTATGAGTGTGGAGCACTAATTGAAGAAGCTGACACTGCTAACAGGTCAAGCCCTGGTTGTGCGCAGTCACAGGTTAGACTGTGTGACCCAGTCCTAATCACTGAGACAGCTTCAATGGCTGGAGCACAATGCCAGCATATAGTGAACAGAATATTGGGCAGAGCTGCTCAAAGAGGACATATGGTAACCCAGTAAAAAACCCATATGGCTATGTAGGCATGCTAAAAATACAGAAGTCAAATCAGGGAACAGCTGCTGTGCCATCTGAAAGACAGTAAATCAAAACAGGCGCATTGGTTTCAGAATAAGAAAATACCTATTACAATTTTCATCTTCTTCATAGTTTGGGATACAGGACAGATCAAGATTGTGTCTAAAAGCCTGGCTTTTTTTTTTTAAGTGTCACTACTCTGATCCAAAGCAACCAAGTATCAGGATCCCATGCTGGCACCAGCGTATGTTTAACAATGCCCATTCATCTTCTCCTTGTAGCATATTTTGTCATTTGCTCTGACAGGCAAACGTGTACCAATTAACCACCCACCTAGACTGTCCTTACTTCTTATTTATCCAGTTCTCTGTATGTTGCTGATTGACTAAGAAAGGCGAGGAATCCTACCAGATTGACAGATGGTCTCATTAACACTTCTTGTGCCCTCAGTGGATTCCAGCCTACATCTAGAAAATTATTTTTGTCTGGTGGACTCGCTCTTCAGCTGACTGTGCTTCAGTCTGCAACTGAGGAACATGCTAATTGTCTAGAATCTGGAGGGAACTCTGAAAGGCACTTGTGATTAATTGCCAGCATTGATGCAGCATAATAGCTGTTGGTGCTCACTTTCCTTCTCCATGTTCCTTGGGGATCTCATGTGCCTTCTTTACCTTCTTGCTAAACTCTCAGTCACCACTGGCTGCAAAATGTGTCAGTAGACATCATGCTTATTGTTCTACTCAACTAGTGATAGTTCATGACTGGATCAGGACCAACTTCTGTCCTGGTTGAGGACCTGCCCGCATACTCAAGATTAGAGATGGGGATGAATATAAAAACGGATCGCTTTTTCTGACGAATATAGCCGCTTCATTAAATATTTGTCGATCTGTATTTGTGGGTTCCAAGTATTTGTGGGTTCCACCCCCATGAATACAAAGGGATATTTACCCGTTTTTATTCATCCTTTGTACTTAAAAACAAAAACACCATTCTCCCTACCTGCCACCGGTCAGCTGATTGGCAGCAGAAAGGCAACCACCACCCCACACAGCCACCCAATACCACAGCCTAGCCTGCCACCCCATTCCTTTCCCTACTTTAGGCCCCACGCCGCCCCCACCAACACCTTCTTATTTTAATCGCTGCTGCTGAGGTCTTCTGGCCTCGGAGCCACACATGTAAAAATGGAGACTGCCTGCCCTTTGCAAAGATGGTGGCTATGGAAGGAAGCTACAGCTGCCATCTTTGCGAAGGGCTGCCTGGATTGCCTTAGCCTGCCTTAAGAGAATCCAGGCTGCCCTTTGCAAAGATGGCAGCTGCAGCTTCCCTACCCTAAATGAAGCTACAGCCGCCATCTTTGCAAAGGGTAGCCAGACTCCCTTTGTACATGCCATGGCTGCAAAGGCCTGATGGAGACCTCGGCAGCAGCTATTAAGGTAAGGGGGTGTTGGCGGGAGTGGGGTGGGGCTAAGGTAGGGAAAGGAAAGGGTGTGAGGGTAGGCTGTTGGGGTGTCTGGCCGTGTGTGTGGGATGGCTGCCTATTGGCTTCTGATCAGTTGATTGGCGGCCGATAGGCAGAATGGGCTTCTGTGCTGTGTGGTAAACTCTCCTGGGGGGACCCCACTTGTTCCGATATCCAATCTTCACCAACGTTGGCAGGCATGTTCGGGAAAGACATTGGAAGCTCTGTTGTGATTCTGGAGTCTCTAAGTACCTGGGGGGAGCTTTCCTGAGGGGTCCTCTTTGAGACTATATAACTTGGGTGTCTGTTATTCAGCAAACATTCAGGAGTTGTAGAAAAGCGTCTGAGGAAGCTTCCCTGCACATTTGGTGTCTCTAGGTGGTTGGGGGCCAATGTTATAGCTGTTTAAAGTGCAGACAAATCAACAGATCGATTCATCGAAGAATATTCGTATATTTGTATTCATTGATCCGTTAACCTTGACGAATAACGGATCAAAACAAATCACCATTTTTTTTATTTGTCCCCATCTCTACTCAAGATATCTTATTTATTCTTTCCAGGGATGCATAAGTCGGAAGAAGCTGGACCTTTATGTGTGGTCCAGATGAATGCCCACAGAAGTCCTACTTAGGCTCCAAAAGGGAGTGAATTGGAAAGCCCAAGAAGAGAGAGACTTCTTGTCCAACTCTGTGCCAACCACCATCTCCACAGAGACTGTCAGAAGAGGAAACTACTGCTACACAGGGATGTGGAGAGTCTCCACATGTACTTGACTGTCTCTTCTTCAGATTGTTTTTCTTTCCATGGACAAAGGGTAGAACTAGAAGTCTCTCTGTTCACACATTCTAAATCAGCCCAGTTTTGAATACTTGATTAAAGCTAAAGGCTTGAATGTTAATGAGAATTAAATATGAAAGAGGAAGAAGCATCTGCCAGTTTCACTTTCTCCTACATGCAATAGTTTTATATATATAAATCCCAGATTCTCTATATCCTAATTATGAAGAAATGTGCTGATCCATTTGAAAGACCATGTAAAACTAAATTCTCATCCCTGTGTACTGGCTAAATAGGAAACATTATTTCCATCTGGTGAAGAACATGTTGTACTTCCTTGTTGTATAAAAATTAAAGATACATACACAGGGATTCAAACTCATATTTGTAAGATTTAAGCCAGAGATTGATAGACCACTAGACAAAAGTACCCCTTGGGCCCCAATCTCTCCAAACATTTGACAATGACCAATTATTTTATTGCCCCTAGTGGGTGTGAGATTTCCAGCATGGTGTAGTGGATAGGACTAGGACTCTAGTAGAACAGGATTCAAGTCTCCACTTGGCTATGGCAACTTATTGGGAAAGTGGAACTGGTAAATCACTGCTTAAATATTTCAATTACCTCAAAAGCTCTATTAGGGTCACTATACAGTAAATTGGTTCTGACTTGACAGCACAGAACACAGATAGTAGTCTGGTGAGTGTTGTACAGCAAACAGTGTTGGATCGGGGCTCTGGAGACTTAGGTTCAAATCTCTGCTTAGTCACAAAAAATCATGGGGAGGGTATAGTAATGGTAAACCACTCCTTGAACTTCTCATGTACCTCAAAAACCCTATCACAGGGTGTCCATAATTCAGAAGTGACTTAACAGTACATAGAAAGAGGGGGTTTGAACTGGAAAGAAAAAAAACTTGTAGGGGAGGTATTGGGAGACTCCAGCTGGTGTGGAGCATAGAAGCTGTCTTACAAAAGGAGGTATGTACATCCTCTGCACCACTACCTGTTGTCCACCAATAACCTATATATTCTTGAGACTTCTGTCTAGGTCATGTAAATTTATCAATTTTTCTTTCTTCATTCTTTTTCCTTTAAATCTCAAATTCATTTCATCCACATGAGAAGAATATTGCAAATGGTGATAAACTTTTATCCAAAATAAGCCGAAATGGATGTCTCTCTCTAGTTGTTGCTACATAATAACATAATAACAACGAGGGACTTGGGGATACTGCAGGTTAAGCCGCAGAAGCCTCTGTGCTGTAAGGTCTGTAGATCTTCAGCTGTAAGATTGAATCCACATGACGGAGTGAGTGCCCGTCGCTTGCCCCAGCTCCTGCCAACCTAGCCGTTTGAAAGCATGCAAATGCGAGTAGATAAATAGGGACCACCTCGGTGGGAAGGTAACAGCGTTCCGTGTCTAAGTCGCACTGGCCATGTGACCACGGAAGATTGTCTTCGGACAAATGCTGGCTCTATGGCTTGGAAACGGGGATGAGCACCACCCACTAGAGTCGAACAGGACTGGGCAAAAATTATCAGGGGGAACCTTTACCTTTACCTTTTACATAATAACAAGGCAAGTGACCAGACAGTGGTTTCAACAAAGAGAAGTGGCAGGGCTGGAAGGCTTCCGAGGATGACAGTCTTGAGCTCTGAGAAAGTGTCGTCCAAAGCAGTTTTCCATCAAAACTGATCCTTGGTGACAACCTGGGTGGCATCTCCCAAACCCCCTTTCATTAAAGAAAGCAAATTGGAATAGGCCACATTTTCTTACCTCTCCCCATTCATAGGAGCCAATATTGCCAAACATGCTTCCTCCCCATGAGCAGAAAATAATGGTCCGGTCTGGTCTCCAGCCTTTTTTAACCTTCAGCATCAATGCTTGGATAAATGCCGTCATTACTGCAGTACCATGAACCCATTGTTGGTTATTGTAACCATGTAAGCTGCTGTGGTGACTGCCAACGATGACATATCTATCTGCAAAACAATCCAATGTTTTGTTTTTGTTAATTAGGCAGCACCTGAAAACATGGCCCTTCTAAACACTGCCTGCCTCCATGAGCTTTCCTGTTCTTGCCAGCTGCATCACATCTGTTGCTTGCCAAAGGAATCAGCTGGGATGAAGGCACGTTTTCATCACAAAACAACAGTATCATATTAGTTGAGCCATAATAAGATTTTAGCCAACTGTTATTCCCATGCTAACAAGAAACATTAAGAGATTCCAACATATTTACTTCTAACACAGAACTCTTTATGGCACATCACCAAATCACCCCATTTGGGGACCCTCAGTATTAAATGTTCATTTGTAAACTGTTTCAGATTTTAGAATCTTGGTTGAATTCCTCTAGATGCACAGCAGAAGTGCAGGGATTCAATGAACCGAATTAGCTTCAAGTTCTCCAGAGTAGTCCACACCTTTTTCTCATACATGGAACATTCTCAAGAACTCACTCTGAGACATTGTTTGGAGAAAGAATAAAGGTCTCGTTACTTACAGATAAATACCGTATTTTTCGCACCATAAGACACATTTTTTCCCCACAAAACAGGGGGGTGGAAAGTCTGTGCGTCTTATGGAGCGAAAAATACGGTAGATCAAACAGCAAACTGAAAAACATGACTAACTGCTTTCAGCTATAGGTCTCAATAGATTATTGATCACCATCAGACTCTAGAAAGGGAAAAAGCTCTTGGATTCAGAGGCAGGGAAGGAACAATTGGTTAGTGCTGGACAGAGTAATAGTCAACCCAACCCAGAAAGGTCCCTTCTAGGCACACCTACTAGAGGCAGCTTGCAAACAATATCATCGTCATCAAAATAAAAATGAAAACAACTGAAATTGAGATGGTTTAAGCAAAAGCTCTTGGATTCAGAGGCAGGGAAGGAACAATTGGTTAGTGCTGGACAGAGTAATAGTCAACCCAACCCAGAAAGGTCCCTTCTAGGCACACCTACTAGAGGCAGCTTGCAAACAATATCATCGTCATCAAAATAAAAACGAAAACAACTGAAATTGAGATGGTTCAAGCTACTGTATCTCCATATGGACATCTTTCATTCTTTATCTCTGGAGCTATTCTTTGACACACACACTAGAACCAATTGAAACCACAGTGATCCAACCCACACCAGAAAGTAGAAGCCCCTTGACAGGGGCCAGAAAGGTAGTAGTAATAGTTGTGCTCTTGGAGCAGGTTTGTGCACCTTAGCAAAGACATCATCGGATTACCATCCCTGAGAAATCCAACACTGGACAAAACAACCTATGTAATCAGCCTCTAATCTTGGTTACAGCTGAAGACAGCATATGTGAGAAATCCTGAAATCAAATCTGAGTCTCAACATTTCTTTTTGATCTGCATTTCCTAGACTCCAAGGAAGATGAAATCAAGTATGGTGGATTTCTTTTTGATCTGCATTTCCTAGACTCTAAGGAAGATGAAATCAAGCATGGTGGAGAATAGGTAAAAGTAAAGGTTCTCCTTGACATTTAGTCCAGTAGTGTCAAACTCTAGGGCATGGTGCTCATCCCTGTCTCCAAGCTGTAGAGCCAGCGTTTGTCCAAAGACAGTTTCCGTGGTCACGTGGCCAGCGTGACTAGACACAGAATGCAATTACCCTCCCACCATGGTGGTACCTATTTATCTACTCGCATTTACATGCTTTCGAACTGCTAGGTTGGCAGGAGCTGGGACAAGCAACGGGAGCTCACTCCGTCGTGTGGATTCGATCTTATGACTGCTGGTCTTCTGACCTTGCCCCATAGAAGCTTTTGCGGTTTAACCCACAGCGCCACCATGTCCCTTATGGTGGAGAATACATATGAAAGAATACATATGTATATTTGAAAATTATGCTGAAAAATATGTCCGCATTTCAAATAATGCAAAATACATCTTTGGGGCTCTTTAGTCTAGAAAAGGTGCCTGAGGGGGTACATGATTAAGACATATAAAATGATGCAGGGGATGGAAAAAGTGGATAGAGGGAAGCTCTTTTCCCTCTCATGCAATACCAGAACCAGGGGACATCCACACAAATTGAGTGTCAGGAGAATGAGAACAGACAAAAGAATTTTTTTCTTTACCCAGTGTGTTGTTAGTCTGTGGAACTCCTTGCCACAGGATGTGGTGATAGCATCTAGCCTAGTTGCTTTTAAAAGGGGATTAGACAGATTCCTGGAGGAAAAGTCCATCACAGGTTACAAGCCATGATGGGATTATAATCTCCAGGCTTCAAAAGAAGGTACCTCAAAATGCCAGATGCAGGGAGTGGTATTAAGAGACAGTTGTCTTGCATGCTCCCAGAGGTGGGGTCACTGTGAGATACAGGAAGCTGGACTAGATGGGCCTTTGGCCTGATCCAGCAGGGCTCTTCTTATGTTCTATGTATAAAGCCCCATCGGGCTTCCCAGTGCTCCTCAGAAAACAGATACAAAAAGTAGTGTTTTGCTCCTGCAATTTGGTAGAATCAATCAATAAGGTTAACCTTAATAAGGCAGCAGGCAAGAGTTTTTTTGTCAGTGTATACAGTCACAGGAAACATTCCCCTTCTTAGCTATTTCTCCAGCATTCTTCTCCCTTTAACTGTGATTGTTCATTGTAGAGGATTATGCCTTTTGTTATTTAAAAGCTTGTGTTTAATTAAGAGGCTTATATCTGGGGAACTAACAACCACCAGAGAATCACAGACCTGCAGTTCTCTGGTGCTATTTCTGCTGGTTTATTAAACTGTCAATAAATACTTAAATGAAAGCAGAAATTAAGCATTAATTCATTAAATAATAATTCATTGAATTAATGAATTTGCCTGAAGCAATATTCTATGAATAATATTTCATGTGCAAAAAAAGTTAAACATGTGAAAACCCTTCATTCACCAAATGCTAAAATACGGTAATCCATTACAAGCTTTAAAATTATTTATTATTTGAGAGAGAGAGAGAGAGAGAGGAGGAAGTTGCCTAATCACCCATTTTGGCCATACCCCTTCCCACATCAGCCACACACCCTTGGGAATGTAGTTCCTCAGCAGCTGGTCAAGTGGAAGAAAGTAACCATTAGCCCAATCAAAATAGCCCAGCTCTGATTTAAACCCTAGCAATGAATGAGAACAGTCGTTTCTGACCAAAGGCCCTACTCACAGGGCAAAAATTAGCACATTTGTTCCATGTAGCTGTTCTAGTGTGGCAATATAGCCTGAAAGTAAACACATACATCATTTCTAGCTGTGCAAAATGGAGAATCCCTTTGTTCTTATCTTAGGGGACAAATGGCGTTCTCTCCATTTAACCTGAGATCACTGAGGAGACCATGGGTGACACCTTGTATTCTTCCACCAGAGCTTCCCAGGTCGTGAGCACAGTTTTGGCTGCAGTACAGCGGTTTAACCACTGCGCCACGAGACTCTTGTAGCACATTTGTTCCATGCAGCTGTTCTAGTGTGGCAATATAGCCTGAAAGTAAACACATACATCATTTCTAGCTGTGCAAAATGGAGAATCCCTTTGTTCTTATCTTAGGGGACAAATGGCGTTCTCTCCATTTAACCTGAGATCACTGAGGAGACCATGGGTGACAGACACCTTGCATTCTTCCACCAGAGCTCCCTTGTTTCATGGCCAGCTGTTCTACCAGAAAGCAGATATAAAATGACTTTCAGGCTAATCAAGGTTGAAGTTAATTGTAAAAATCGCACTTCTTCCCACCTATTGTGAGACACTTCGAGAGGTTTGTTTCAGCTGAAGAACGAAGTATGCAATAAACGAGCTCAACACAGATTGAAAAGGAATATCCCAGAGGAATTCAGTCTGAGGATTTCAAATTAGCCTTATCAAAACACTTCAGTTATTTCTAATAAATAAAATAAAATAAAATAAAATAAAATAAAATAAAATAAAATAAAATAAATAAATAAATAAATAAATAAATAAAT